CCGTAACCAGTCTTTTCAAAAGGACCGCAATTCTCGATGTCGGCAAGTGAGGGCTCCGACATTGATGGTAGCTAATCGCAGCGTCCCTGAGTTTTAGGAAATTTACAAGTTTAGAAGGGGAAATTTCGATTGAACGTATCAAGACAATTCTATAGCAGGCATCTTACGAATGACCATCTCAAACTAAAGTCTATAATGGAAAAAAGCAGAATATATTCTAAATCAGCGAGAAGGATGGATCCATCTTCTCCCTCTTCTTCTTGAGTTCTGCACATAAGCTTTGTGGTTTGAGTACAATTTTGAGATTATGCTGCTGATATCAGCATGGATTTTCTTTATTTTAACGGTTTTACTCTTCCTAGAAATGTCGTTTTTGGGTAGCCGTGGCTAAAGAAGAGTTATATTGGATGTGCACTCAGTATATTCAAATTTACAGGAGCGAGAGACTGCCTCTGCGAGTAAATCGACAGATTTTAGTAAGCCCACTGTAGATACCTCTGCTTTAACTCCAAGTGGGGAACAGGTTAGTCAAGAGGCATTACTGAAGACATTACAGCAACATATCACAACTATCATCTGCAGGCAAAAGACCCAGCAGCAATTGCTGCAGCGAACGCTTTAGCATTGCAAATAAACCTTATACCATCTATAAAGATTGATTATACGATTACGGACAAAGAAAGAGCTGGATTTAATATGAAAGAATTTATCAAGAAGCACTTTATTGCCGGTGCTGCGCGACAAAATTACGAAGTAGGGCTGTTTTAGGAACTCAACTTGCAGATTTCACAAGTTTCGAGTTTTTTAGGTCTGGGAAATACATTTGATACTAGAAAAAGCAATGGATGCGATGAAAAGTTCACCTATCCTACTAGAAGTGCGATGTCCGGTTAACATATGTGGCGATATTCATGGACAGTACGGGGATCTCATGAGGATCTTCAATGTATGCTTCGACTTTACGATTTGTGGCTGCAGATTAACTCACAATTTAGGCTTGTGGGCTCCCTTTCAAGCATCGCTATCTCTTTCTTGGCGATTATGTGGATCGAGGACGCCATTCTTTAGAAGTGATCATGTTGTTGTTGGCTTTACGAATACAATTTCCTCGAAAAGTGTATCTGCTACGAGGAAATCACGAGTTATCCAACATCAATAGGTCTCTTCAGTTTTGCTTAGCTTCGGATTTTAATCTAAAATTTTACAGGGTTTATGGTTTTAATGCAGAGATTCGACAACGTTATCGTAATCTAGCTGAGTCGAAAGCCCTATACGACCATTTCAATGAGGTTTTTGCTCAAATGCCGCTGGCTGCTCTTGTTGCTGGTCGAATTCTTTGCATGCACGGAGGTATGGACATAATTCCGCAATACACTCCCCTTTTCGAGTTTCTAAACTTCTCTTTAGGCCTTTCACCTAGTTTAAACAGCCTTGATGATATTAGAAAGTTAAAACGACCTTTGCGAGTTGTACGTGGTTTGGCGCAAGACTTGTTGTGGGCAGACCCTGAGACGGGCACGAAAGGTTTTCAAGTGGGTAGCAAATCTGAATATCTTTGAAATTCTCAAGATAGTGCTTATTCAGCAAAATAAGATACGTGCTGTATCACACATATTTGGTGAAGAGACGGTTCGTGACAAATGCAAACAGCTTAATATTGATCTGGTTATTCGAGCGCATCAGGTAATTAACCTATTCGTAGTCGCGACGCAACTGCTACGCAACCGCAGCGCATGCGTGCGCGCCATGGGCTGGAATAGTTCGCAAAACAACGTGTTGGGCGCTCTGTTTGCGGTGTTAATGTTCGTCTAATTGTAAAACCAAAATAATCTGCATTTTGAGATAATTTTGAATTGAATCATTTATCAAAATTTTGGATTAGTTGTGTTCTCACAGGTTTCTATATAGACAGAGAGCTTTCTGTGGATAAACACATATTATGCCAATCAGGTTGTCGAGTTTGGTTATGCGTTCTTCTGTGGTCGCTCTCTCATTACCGTTTTCTCAGCAGCACGCTATCATGAAGAACTTGTTAACTATGCAGCCGTTGTTAAGGTTTACATTAACACCATCTTGAGATTCTGAAATGGATTTGTAACTTTCCAGGTAGACGCTACACTCGAATTATCATTTGTACAACTTAAGCCGCAAGAGTTCGAAAAAGTTCGCCGAGAATTAGAACAGAAACACGAGGAAACGGGTGATCCTGGAGAAGAACCTCAAGTCCCGCTGCCACCACCATCGGGCGGCAGTGGCGGTGCCACGCAACCACCTGTTTATCCATAAAAAAGCTGAACAGTTTTCAAACTAATCAAAAATCAAGCGCCTTGCACACATGTCATCGCTTGTATGTGTTTGTGAGGTTTAGAAGAGTTAATAAAAGTTTGAAGTGTTTGTTGTTTTCCTTGAATTTGGTGGGTATGTTTCGATGGTTCTCCGCCGCTGTTTACTTTTTCTCTCAAATTTTTAGCTCTAAAATTTGATCGTTATCTAGCTTCCAGGTGGTGTAGGAAGTGGAGAGAATCTCAAAGATGCCCTCTTCGCTCACCTGCTGCACCTTTCAACGGATGCGTTATGCTGAACAAGGCATATATCGTGCGTCAATCGCTCATCGGAAAATTTATTAGTACACCGAAAGTAAGAACTTTACCAAATTTCATGGCAAACGCTCAAAAATTTTTTTGATATGCACGTTTTGAGTTGCTTATATGTCTATTTGTACATATCTGATGTTGTGGACAAAGCCTTGAATCTTTCTTTTATTTGTGAAAAACCTTCTTTTCATGCCAAACACAGATTGAGAATGTTAAATTATTTTCAATTCCAAAGGCTCTGCTTCTGAAGTTGGTGCTAGAAATAGTTTTCTTTCTAGAAAAAGTTTTGTCAAAGACATTTGCAGTAGTTCGACTTGAGCAAAAACATTGGAGCATAAACAATAAAAGCAACCTTCACAATTTTTGTAAATCGTATCTGAGAGCTGTTTACCGTAATCTCGTCAAATTTTATCTTAAGAATGGCAATTAGTTAAAAATTGTTTTTTTT